CATTTTCATGGAGTTGTTTTATTAGCGGTCGTTTCCCTTCTGTTTTCAGGTAGCAATCGATCATAAGAAGCTAGCTGTCGATCTGATCGAGACCGTCATCAAGTGGGAAATAATGCATTCGAAGAAAATTGGCGAGGTGATTCTTGCATGAAGCGCGTATAATAAATTATGGCACTGGTGATTTACACCTGCCATACGTTGCCTGTCAGTCGCTTCACCCGTTTCACTCGTTTTGTAACTGAGTTATCGTGGCTGAACTTCCGGGTTCTATAATAAACTCAATACAATTAAGTATACATTAATATTTGTTGTTAACTTGAAGCATTATTTGAGCCACATGGTAATACAGATGGAAAGATCATAGTTGGCAGATTAAGATCTGTAACTGATCAAGATCTGTTGCTGGGAAGAGCCCATGTTTTTTTCAGATATCCTGCGAAGCATATCAGCAGAATATCGATAGTCTGAATATGCATTGAGAAATTGAACTGTCGAATGTCTTTTTTCGACTGGTGATGGAACGTGTCGACATCAAGTTTTCGGTATTTAAGTCCAGTACATGGTGTTCTGTTGGGTTCTCCGGCCGTGATTTAGGCTTACCTGTAATTTGGTCATGAATGCTAAACTGTCAGTCCTGTTGCCATCCTTTGGTTTATACTCGGTTTGTCGAGTTAATGTTTTATGCCGTATTGCATTGATGTATCGCTTGACGAGTTTACATATACGTAGACGCGGGGAATAACCTTGTAAAATTCTCCTTGGTAGCTGAAGTTATCATAAGTCTGCCGTTCCGTAGTATGCTGATAAATCGGATTTGTGGGAATAACCCCAAATGAGAATTTTTATTCCATTGCAGCCTAATTTCATCCAGCAAATGCCCCCATGTACATTATTAAGGCACATAGTCAAAAAGATTGGTCTTCGTGGATTTACGTGATGCAGCACAGAAAAAGGCCCTGGCATGGTACCGAGGCACATTTTCATGACCTTTTCCAAACCTGACACAGCCGAGCAATGTTAAGAAGTGACATGCTGGTACCAGGCTTAACTTAAGCAAACCAACAGAAATAATTACATGAATGTATTTTGTTGCTTGAACATATGAAACACGACCCTATTCTTCAGCCGTATGCTTTCCTTGTTTTAGAAATAGTCGAAAATTACAAAATGAAAATGTGGCTTATTATCTGTTTTTACTGCAATTCTAAGACAACATCACGGTTTGTGTCTGAGTGTCCAACAATAAACCGAAGGAACTGCTAAATGTAGCGCGCCCAGATTTTGATGATATATTTTAAACATGATTCTCTGACATAAGCCAATGTTGGGGTTAAGTACCCAGCCGAATGCGTCGTAATCATGCCATCGTTATGATGCGGAAATGCATGCCAATAAAGCTATAGCATTAGCTATTTGAATGATGATCGAAACTGTCAAAGTCGTTACATTTACAGTCATTTAATCGTACAGCTTGATCGACTGTAACAATTGCATCCCCTCAAATGAATCCCACCACACACGCAGTGGAAGCCTTATTCGATTTTTCGTCAGTTTTGCTTTTCAATGAAATGCATACGATTTCTTATTTATTAAGATGCTAATTTTTATTTTCGGTCTATGCATTATTAGCTGATAATGTGAAGTTATATTAATATTTTTTTTAGAATTAATATAAGTTTGATTTTGATTCGTTGTAATAAGTGATGATTTTCTTTTAGGAATTGGCAAGTTCTGAAGACACATCCAAAGGTCTCGACAAAGGGCAGATTGACCTTATCGTTAATCTGCTCATCAGACTGAGTGCTCAGGTAAAAAAGTTTTATATTCGATAATTATTAACTTTATTTGGACAATAAAAATGGATTTCCGAAGTTAATAATCAGCGTCTTGAGTACTTTGTCATGAATGCTCCGTGTTGACGTGTTCGTTTCTTCTGAACAAATATATAAATTGCGCATAAAATATTTGATAGAAACATCAAATGATATTCGTATACAGCACGATAAATAGCGCTGTAATTAATCTCGTTGATGTTGCGCATTATTGGTAAGGAATTTCCTTTCAGAAAATTGACCTGCTTTGCTCATCGTGGATGTTTTCTGAATTGGTCTCGAACCATAAATGAGGAAAGTCCAGATTCGTTAAACTGATAAATGAGAGTCAGAGGCAGTTTTAAGATTTACACACCATGTAACTGTTATAAGTAGCATTTACATGAAATGAAGTTCAATATGTAGTATAGATTAATTGAATAAATTTAATATCAGTGGTATATCACAAATTTCGTTTTTCCCTGAGGACACTCAATGTAGAGACTTTACCACCGCTCTACTGTGGTCCAGAATTATTATAGCGGCATTTTTATGATATAACACTGACTGTGACTCTATAGAGAGAACGAGGGTAGAGAGGGGCGCCACTTCAGTAAAAAATTTGTTAAGACAAAATATTTTCACAGTCGTACCTTTATGATATCAGAAATGACATGATCGTTTCCTACTAGAAGAAATTTTGCAACTAATTTAACAATACTGACTAAGATATTAGGAATGTTCATTTTAGAAACGATTGGCCATTTTGAATTTGGACGGTCGAAAAGTGACAATTTAGAAAGTCTGAATTCTTGGCCTGTTTTGATATAAGAAAAGGAAAAATTCGGGGTTACGCCTTGTGTTGATTGTTACACGGGATTTTCAGCTATCAGGTGGGCAAATGGGAAGTGATCTCTAAGGAACAGTCGTATCGGATGACATGGTCCTACAGGTCGTCCATTCTGGCATAACCGGGCCAGAATATCATTCTGTCGGTAGCATTCACCGGTACACTCTATTCGTTTCCCTTCTGGTATCGCCAAAGCAATGGGTGGTTAATTCATTGCTCAAGGGAATTCGCGATAAGGACAACGATTGTCTATTGACAAGATTTGAACTCTGATCGTTGGACTTCCAACCATTCTCTCTGCCACCGTGTCTGAAATGTGTAATGTTTAATTAGAACGTATAAGAATATGTGCAAGTAAATGTAAAGGCGTTTATCTAAGAAGATGCGCTACGTTTATCCGTAGATTAAAAGATCCAGTGTAACCGCAGGTAGCAAGAATGTGGTTGTCCGTTAAGGTTGATGATGTAACTACTTTGGAACGTTCGATAATGATTTTGATCCGCATTTTCCAGCACATTTTCACCGAAGGGGCGAGAGACTGTTGCTGTGTCTTCACTCCTGATGTTGGCGTCAACCATCTGTCAGATCCTTAGTCGATTTTTCTCATGCACCTTTGTCTTCCGTTCACAGAATGAATAGCAAAAGGAATTGTAGCCAGCGTGTTTATATCGTAAAATATAACTGGTAACTTCCTTACAAACTGATGGTCCTGATATCACGTTACAAATGAGAATTGCTTTCTAGTGCCGAGGTGGTTGTGTGTGCTTCATGACCATTGTTCGTAGTTAATCGATCGCTTAATTCATAAGAGTCTCTACAGATCCGATAATAAATCAAGCTTTTTCCATTCCACCGTACTTGTTCATATCGCGTGATCTCTTTCGTTGGTCCTTGCTCCTCTTTTCTACAAATACATCGAGGCTTGTATTTTTCAGCTAGAAGCGTTGTTTTAACCTCTATTGATTTGTTCTAAAGTTCTTGTCGATTCCGTGCCAGCGGTTAGTATGAAGTGAACTCTTGTAGTTTTTTGTGGTTGTAGAGGAAACTCAAAACTCATCATCTATAATCAAGAGTCTATTTTGTAC